GGATACTGCTTAATATCCTACAATGCACAACACCCACAACATTCCCCCAAACAAAAACTTACCCAGGCCAAGACATCAACAGCACAAACATTGAAAACCCCCGATTTGGATCATTTCCAGGCCTTTGTCTGCATTCTTGTCTCAGACCTCAAAAATGTTACTGGGATACCTGCTAAGGACCTCATCATAAATGGTAAAACTTGTATAACACTGATTTTATTTTTTAAAAAAGAAATTATTTCAGGTTATGGTATCCAAAGGATAACTTCTCTGACTCAGTTAAGACGCAATCATTCATTTACACAACAGTTACCACGCACCTATTATGTAATCAGTCAGGCACAGTGTTAAAAGACAGTGGCAGGATCTGATTCAATGCTCTCCTGCGCCCGGCTCAAAGCAATGTAGTACACAAATTGGGACTCTGAAGTGAGACGTACCTAGTTTCAATTCCAGTTCTACCACTTACTGTCATTAGTCATATTTACTGAATTATTTTGAACCTCTATCTGCCCGTCTCTAAAACCAGTCAAATGGGACCTCTCAAACTGGGAAAGTAAAATAAGATAATGCACATAAAACACAAAGTATACTGCCTGGCACACAATCATTCTTCAACAATTAATTCCTATTACTAATAAAAAATTACAAGTCTTTATTTTTGTTTTTAAAGATAGATTTTTTTACTACGGGGTGTATACAATCGCTGGAGAGAAAAGAGAGAGAAAGCAACTAATCACTCCTCAGGGGGATGACCACGCCACAATCCCTTCTCACCCATCTCCTCATGGGATCTTGGGCACACAGGCGCGCACGCCCCACATGAGGTTTAAGCCACCAGGTCCAAGACTCAGACCACAGTGGACTACCTGCAGAGTCCAGCAACCTAACCGTAACGCCAGCTGCTGGTTCCAAAGTCTTCATAAAGTAATCAAAAAACTGGAGACTGCTAGTATGCCTATAAATTACACAGCAACTCTAACTATGACAGATTGCACACACCTCCAGTCAAGCTAACTGCTTCTCTGCACTGTATATAAAACCCTTTAAATCCTGGCTCTCTCCTCCTCCAGCCTTAACTCCTACCACCTACATAATCTAATGCCGTCTGATGGCCCCTTGAGATGGCACAGATTTGAAGATGAGACCTAGGCAGCAAACAAAGTAGTGTCAAGCCAAAAGTCACTCTGGAAGAAACATTCTTCAGCTAAAAACTCTGGCAAGATACATGGCCTGAGTGGAGGGGAGGATCTGAAAGGGAGGGGAGGAGAGAAAGAATGAGAATATAAATGAACACAAATGGCTCATAAGCCAGTAATATGAACCTGGAGGTAAAATTGCATGTGATATGTTTCTAAAAGAAAAACACTTCTACCAACACCCATCTTTCACTTCATGCTTCATTCTGTACTTCTTTCATAAGAATGGATTAGAAAATTACATTTAATTTGTCTCATCGTAGGAAAAATAACAGCCATGGAGAAACCACATTACCAAAGCCTAACAAAATCACCCACTTATCAATGACAACATCTAAATGAAAACGAACCATTAGCCACACATAATTACTGACGGCAAAGTTTAACAGCCAACTATTGAGAACTAGCCAATATATAATAACTTTTCACATACAATAAAAGAGTATTTCCATATATAACGAAAGAGCACCTTCTATTGAACCTGTGGTAAGCCAAGTTATCTCTGATCTAAGAAGCCCCTTTTCTTGCAGTTTATTAAAGTGTTTAAGCCTGAGCCTCTACAAGGGAGCAGCCACTCAGCACAGGAGTGGAATCCACAGCCTTTCTGCCCTGACTTCTGTAACAAGACAAATGCAAAGGCAACTGTTAAACTTTTCATGTAACCTCACAAAATGATTAAGTTTTGACCAAGCTTACCTTGTCTTATGGAATTCAAGGGGAAAAATTACTAAACCGTTGTCAATTTACCGACCAGAGAAATACAAACGTTATTTATGCTCACTATAGTTACTGATTCTAAAAACCAGATCTGTGTTCAAATCCTGGTTCTACTTCATGTGTGATCTTAGAAAAGTCACCAAAACTCATGAGTCTCAATCTCCTAACAAATAAAATTAAATGACTGAATTAAGCTTTAACATTCCTTAAAACTCAAATTCTGATTCAGAGTATGAAATCTTTAAAATTAAATGCTTTTTAGTGGTCCTTTGAATGCAGAATGAAATAAAGGTCTTTAGAAAAATGTGTCTGATTGCAGGTTTGTAGGTTTGAAGAGCATTCGATGACAGAGTCCTGAAATCTGTGCCTACTGACTATTTCAAATAGGCTGAAATATAGTGGCAAGACCCCAGAATTGGTCCTATGTCCCAGCAGCTTCCTGTGAGGCACACTTCCAGTAGCTGCTTTCTCAAAAACAATATATGGATCTCCAAAACACCTCCGATGAAGCAGCTATCAGCAATCATGAGACATGCAACTGCTTGGCCAATAGCAGTTCCTTCACTTGTTTCCTCAAATGGATGCCACTTACCAATACCAGTTTCAATGACAGAGCCCCAACACCAAATAAGCAATAAAATAGCAACAGCAGAATCATTCTAAATTTACAGCAAGGATTGCCTTCAGAATTCGAGAGTATGAAAGACCAAGGTGATCATCTCCACCTATCTAAAACCCTTAAAGATATACCTGCTGAGCTTTTAAAGCAAGGCTTTCAATCATTTCATCTAATATTTAAAAAAAAAAAAAAAAGCTCATTTAGCTTAGTTAAATAGGACTCTTCTTAAAATCACCCCTAAAGAAAGTGACAATTTAGCATCTCTGCTTATACACTTATGTTGGAAATTAATTCTACAATAGAATGTCTGAAAAGTCCTTCTGTCTGCTGCACTAACCTGGCAACTCTGGCAGTGCTGGCTGCCAAAGGAGAGTGAAAATAAATAGTAAATCAACCCATTTCATACAGGTACCTCTCATCAGCAGCATACTTACTCAGTACCAGGAAATATACTATGATGACAATCGATAAAATAAATATTTAACTTATTTTCAAGTCAGAGAGTGAAATCTGCATTCTTAACTATTGAAACGATACCACTGTTTATCCTAAAATCATTTTGCAAAGGAAACCCAAACATTTTAAAAGAAACAATTTTCCTATATCCACACTAAGAAATTACTGACAGATAACCTTAGCTAGATAACTAAAAATTTGTTTAATTGTATAGGGTGCTTATATGAAGGGAGTCTACAAAAAGTTCAAGGACAATGCATGTCGCAAAAAAACTGCACGCACTTCAAAAATTTCTGCAACAAAATACACTTGTTATTTTTCATTCTATTTTTCTGAGAACTTTTTCCAAGTCCCCTAATATTGGCATTTGCCAATGAAGCCTCGACTTTGAAAAAATAGGTTTCTCTTCCTTTGCTTTCTCAGAAAGTAAAAGATTAGCACACTGCTGATCTCAAATACTCACTAAGTAATGCGAATGTGAATTTAGAAATAATAAACTCACAATAAGGACAATGAAGATGGTAAAAGACAATCCTCCAGCCTACAGGGATAAAACAAAAATACAAGCTTCTGACAGATCTCCTGGATACAAATCCAAGAACATGAGTTAAGGATACAGACACTGGAAAGGCATATCCATGTACCCACACAGGGATGAGGAGTTAAAAGGAATCTCGACCACAAGCTTAAAGATTGGCCACAGCATTACACAAACCTTTCTAGCATTAGGAAATTATTCCCACCACTAGGGAGAATGTGCATTTAAGTCTGACCTGGAAATTATGTCCCCTATGTCTACAAAAATAAGGACAATGAGAAGTTAGGAATTCTAAGAAACATGCCAGGAAGAGTTTAAAGATTCTAGTGTATGAAACACTTACTATTAAAAAAAACTTAGGGGGGAAAAAAACTGAAATCAATCACCCTCAAGCTCCCTCTCCATCCTCGACCCAGGTCATCCCTAGTTTGAACATATTCATGTGGGCTACTGGATTTAAAGTCACATTGCAATTATCTGGGTCATTTTAATATGGATCAGTAGCAGTATTTTAGTGGCGCGTTTGTCCAAAAAGCCTCCAATACAGCGACCTACAAACTTTTGGGTCCCTCTAACCCGGGACGATAGTAGAAAAACAGATTCCAAAGAACCCACAGTCTCGATCAATGTGGTGACAGAGAGACCCTGGGCTGGCCTTTGTGATCAGCTGCCCAGGCCAATCTGAAGTAGGTGGCCCAACAACCACACTGGGCGACATCCACGTCCACCACGGTCCCAAGAGAGCACCCACTTCAACCATCCCGGACCGGACACGAACAGCGAGAGTGGAGGCTGATGGGAGGAACTTGGGGAACGCGGAGAAGGGCTCGGGACGAGTGCGTGGCCCCTTGGCCCAGAGAGACCTGGCAGTAACGACGGGGCCACAGTTACTCCCAGCATTTCCATCAGGTCCCACGACGCTGTACGGAGGGCAAGAGCTCCAACTTCGAAGACCCACAGGCCTTAGTTACCGCCAGTTATGGTCCTTCTTGGCCGTGCGTCCTAGGACTTCCCTTAACGCCCGGCCTCAGTTTCCCCACCCGTGCAACGGGCTCAAACCACCTCCCGGGGAAAGCTATGCCAAAACGAAACTAACCCGGCCGCTC